TGGAGGAAGAGAGGAAGAGAGGACAAGGTAGGAGTGACATACAGTGGGATGGATGGAAAAAGAGAGAGAAAGAGAGAAGACAAGATTGGATTGACATGCAGAGGGATGAATGAATGGATGGAGGAAGAAAGAGAGAGAGAGGACAAGACAGGAGTGACATACAGAGGAATGGATGAAGGGAGAGAGGACAAGACAGAGGGATGGATGGATACATGGAGGAAGAGAGAGAAAGAGAGAGGACAAGGTTGGAGTGACATACAGTGGGATGGATGGATGAAGGGAGAGAGGACAAGACGGGCATGGATGGATGGATGGATGGATGGAGGGAGAAAGAGTAAGAGGACAAGATAGGAGTGACGTACAGTGGGATGGATACACAGGGATGGATGGATGGATGGGGGAGAGAGAGAAGACAAGATTGGATTGACATACAGAGGTATGGATGGAAAACGAGAGAGGACAAGACAGAGGGATGGGTGGATGAGTGGAGGGAGAGAGAGAGGACAAGATAGGAGGGATATACAGTGAGGTAGATGGATGGATGGAAGAAGAGCGAGAGAGAGAAGACATGATAAAAGTGAGGAAGAGAGAGAAACAGAAGTGAGGGGGAGAAAAAGGCGAGTAGAAAGGAGAGAGAGGGAGGGAGCAACAAGGAGAGACACAGAGGGAGGGGAAAGAAGAGATGGAGAGGAGAGAGATTGGAAAAAGACAACGAAATAGAAGTGAAGGATAGAACGAGAAACCACTTTCGATATTAGAGAAAGAGAGAGTGGAGAGGGGAAATGAGAGGAAGAAAAGGTAGAGGAGCAAAAGAGAGATTGTGGACAAGGAAAACGAGTGAGAGAAGCGGTAGAGGCAAGAGAAGAGAAGTAAAATAAGTGAGAGAGAAGAGAGAGAAAATGAATGAGAGAAAAGGTAGAAGAGAAAGGAAGAGGGAGTGGAGAGGGAAAACGAGTGAGAGAAGAGGTAGAGGAGAGAGAGGAGAGGGTCTGGAGGGACTCAAATGAGAGAGAGGAGAGAAGAAAGAAAGAGTGGAGAGCGAAAAGGATTGAGAGAAGAGGTAGAAGAGAGAAGAGAGAGGGAGTGGAGAGGGAAAATGAATAAGAGAAGAGGTAGAAGAGAGATTGAGAGAGAGAGGAGAGGGAGTGGAGAGCAAAACGAGAGAGATTATGTAGAGGAGAGAGAGAGAGGAGAGGGTCTGGAGGGACACGAGTGAGAGAGAGAGAGACGAGAGGGAGTGTGGAGAGCAAAAACGAGTGAGAGAAGAGGTAGAGGAGAGAGAGAGAGGAGCGATCACGAGAACAGAGCAAAGACGGTGGGAGGAGTTTGCGAAGGCTGGAGCCGGGGAGGGGGTGAGAGCTCGGCAGAGCAGCAGCAGCATCGAGCAGGAGACGTAACCCTTTTCCCTTCCTCTCCTCTTCTCCTCTTCTCTCTCTCTTTTTTTTTTTTTTTTTACCGGCGTTTACGAGCGAGGGACGAAACCGAGCAACCGGCGACGCACGCAGGAACAAGCAAATCCCAGAATAGCTTTTCATATTTTTACCTCGGATTCGCCGGGGATGTGCTCTGTGTGGAAGTGCACGGAACAGCTGATTTAACGGACCGCCCTGCTTTTTACACACTGTCACTCCGCGGTTCCAAACGGATTTCCTTTTTTTTTTTTTAAACCGCGGACTCTATGGAAAATACCGCGAGGTTAAATGAGGATAGCCAAATTTCGGAACCCCTCGTTCTGTAGTGTGTTGCAATAGACCCAACTTCAGGATTGCCCCTTTTCCTGGACAATAAGTACTGCCTGCTGGCTTGTATCCAAACGTATGCACCTATAATTCAACCAGGATGTATGTTTTTGCGTTTTGAGTGAAGAATAAGACCTGTTTTTGGTTGCTTGTGTGCCAGAACGCTGTCAAACTGAATGTCTTTTTCCAAATTGGATTCCAGTGACAAGACTAGCTATTAGCAGCGGCACGGAGCTCCAGATCAAGGCGGAAACTGTATTCGTTTGCACTGTAATCCCGTGCGGTTTGGGAGTTGGTGTCACAGACTTGGTACCCACCCGCACCCCCTAAAACAGTGGATTTTTTGGTTGGCATCGTCGCACTGCACCACCTGATGAAGGGGAAATAGAGCTGGCAGAGTGACAGGAGCACGCCAGGAGCTTTATGATTTGCAGCGTACCCAAGCGTGCCAAGGCATCACAGGAAAAAAGAATGAAATATCTGAGTTTTTTTTCTTCTTCTTAGAGATTCCAAGTAAAGATGTCCAGACAGATTAAGTCCCCCAGATCCTGCAGAAAAGGTCAGAGATGCTGTAGAATGTATTAAAGCGCTCCACAGGTCTGCTACAAAACCTACTGATTCGGCAAAGGTTTTTTTTTTTAACGCCAGATGCCCTTCCCGATACTGTTTATCCTCACTTTGGATTGACAGAAAGCGTTGACTGGTTTAAAACAGTGACATCGTGAAAGGATTACATATTGACAAGCGGATAAACGTCTTTCGTTTGGAGCGAATGCCCTCGTAAATGTCTTTAAAACGGGCTTGGGACTGACACCGAACAGATTTATTATACGCTTGTGGATTTATCAAGCTTGGGAAGTGGATAATTATCTAAAACGTGGCGCGATTTGAGCTTGGATTTGTCGTTTTAAACAAGAAACCCTCCTAAAAGTGGAATTAAAAGAACATTTTGGCTTTTTTATGATCTCTTCCAGCTGTATTATCCCTTATAAGCTATTATAAAAGCGTTACAGATCACCTAATGCTCTTGTCGGTGATGCGAAGATTGACGATTGGCTTCACCTACCAGTAATCTATCACCCCATTGGCTGACCGCACACTATCTCTACCACCTGTGTGCTTGCTCTGCAGAATGCCCCCCTTCTCATGTTTTACTACGAACTGTATCGACGAGGACATTAACGCTACTTCCACTACTGCCGGATAAGATTTCAGCTCAACTTTTGTAACGGGTTTTTATTGGCGTCGTCCGATCGTGTCATAACACCAGCCGAGTCGGACGGGGAGCATTGATAATTCATGAGTTTGAGATCTTGCTGCCGGCCAAAAAGGCACGCCACAGTTATCCGAGGAACCAGCTCAAACGTGGGAATGATTTATGCGTCTAATCCTGTGTATTTTTTTATTATTTTATAGCCGGGATGCGATGTGATTATTGATTCGGCGTTAGTGTAAGATTCCTGGCGTATTTTCACACATCGAGGTCACACACACACGCGACGCCACGGTTCACGGAGCCGCTCTAATAGGCTGAATAACATTGTGCAAGAGTCCATCTTTCTTGGCTGCAGTTATCATTTTGGGTGATGGATTGGCTCATAGAGATGACATCCTACCTATCGTACCTGCTCGAATTCCGGAGATAAATCAAAAACCATCCGAGTCTGGTTTTACACGCGGATATTTTTCCATTGTTATGTCCGAGTGTCCTTGAATGCAACCACAAGTCTACAGGGATCATATGAAGCAGAACCATATGGCTTGGATGTAACATGGAGGCCAATACAAGCATAGGTTAAGCTGGAAGGAAGTTTCTCCTCTGCATTTGACCCGTTTTTTTAGATTTAAACTTGGGTTAAACCTGTCCAGTGTAGTGATGAACTGCAATAACTAACCCAAGGACCCATTTTTAGATCTTTAGATTAGGTAAACTTTATTGTGAGGGAAATTTGTCCTCTGCATTTGACCCGTTCTTCAGTAAACCTGGGTTAAACTTGTGGGTGATCGCTGTAAATAACTCAAGGCCCCTTTTTTCCAGATGGACTGCAACTACAAGTCTAAAGGGCCAAAACAAAGACAGATTTGGTATATTTTAGTGTCCTCATAGAGAAATTTGTCCTCTGCATTTGACCCATTCTTCAGTAAACCTGGACTAAACTTGTGGACGATTGTTGTAAATAACCCAAGGCCCGTTTTCCAGATCTTGAGCTCGGTTCATGAACTGCAACTACTAGTCTAGAGGGCCAATACCAAGACAGATTAGGTATACTTTAGTGTCCTCTTAGAGATATTTGTCCTCTGTATTTGACCCATTCTTTAACAAACCTGGGTTAAACCTGTCAGGAGCAGTGGACGAACCTAGCGACCCACTTTTAGATCTTGAGCTAAGTTCTTGGACTGCAACTACAAGTCCAGAGTGCCAAGATAGGTTAAGTATACTTTAGTGTCCTAATCGGGAAATTTGTCCTCTGCATTTGACCCATTTTTCAATAAACCTGGGTCAACCTGTTAGGTTTTAGGAGGAGTGGGCGACCACCGTAAACTACAAGTCTAGAGGGCAAATACAAAGACAGGTTAGGTATATTTTAGGGTCCTCTTAGAGAAATTTGTAATCTGCATTTGACCCATTCTTCAATAAACCTGGGTTAAACCTGTCAAAAGCAGTGGGCGATCCCAGCGCACAGCCTAGAGACCCATTTTTAGATCTTGATCCAGGTTCATGGACTGCAACTACAAGTCCAGAGGGCCAAGATAGGGGATAGGATAGATGAGGTATACTTTAGTGTTATCATAGGGATATTTGTCCTCTGCATTTGACCCATTTTTCAATAAACCTGGGTCAACCACAGTAAATAAACTAGGGACCTATTTCCAGATCTTGAGCTAGATTCATAGACTGCAACTACAAATCTAGAGGGCCAATACAAACACAGGTTAAGTATACTTTAGTGTCCTCATAGGGAAATTTGTCCTCTGCATTTGACCCATTCTTTAAAAAACCTGAGCTAAACCTGTCAGGAGCAGTGGGCGACTGCAGTAAAGAATCTAGGCACCTATTTCCAGATCTTGAGCTAGATTCATGGATTTTAGAGCCCCAAAACCAAGATTGCTCCTTTGCATTTGACCCATTCTTCAATAAACCTGCAACTTCCAATTCAATTTCAATAAAGTAAAGTAAAGTTTTGATCATAACTGTAACAATCCAATGAAATTTTCAAAACAAAAATAGTAGTACTTTCTTTAATACAACTATATGTTCTTATAGAAGTACTAATCTAGAAAATAAACATTGAGGAAAAGTCTAATTTTGTCTGGTTTATGTGATTTTTTTTCAATGTCAATACTTGAAATGAGATTCTAGTTTCGATAACGGCTCAAGAAATCGCTGACTGTGCATGTTTTGTTTAAATTGCGACTGGAAGTTAGCAGTAAAATGTTATGACATGTTAGCTATACACCTGCCGTTCTAAAAATGCCCTCAGCTCATTCCTTCTCACCGTTCACAGAGTTAAATTTTAGAATGGGGTTTAGCCCGCTGTGCTTATTTTCATATTAATCAGACCTGTCAGCTAAATGAGGAGCTATCGGTCATCTGTCGGTGTACGCGGACGTTTATTTTTCTAGCAGCGCCGGAATAAATTGTAAACAACGAATGCATGCAGAAATTTGGTCTGAGTCTGCGTTTTTGTACGTTTATGTCCTTCGATTAAGATAAAGCATTAGTATTATTACAAGAAGAGATGGTTGCCAGATCCAAACTAGTCAAAACCTTAACTTAAACAGGACTAAACCAGGACTATATTCTTAAAACAACAAGAACAAAACCACTTTGTCAACTGCACAATCTTGATACATCTCATTATATTTTTCTAGGCTTGGGACAGGCCTAAATAGTCCTCTGATTGAAAGTTGTAGCAGCATTAGAATTAGATTAAACTGTGGACTAAACCAGGACTTAAAGCTGAACCGAACCGAGTCTAAAGCAGGATTTTATTGATCTAAAAAAGAGAGAGAGTTCTTGAAATCTTTAGGAGAAGAGATGGTTGCCAGATCCAATTCTAGACCTTAACTTAAGCGGGACTAAACTATGGACTAAACCAGGATTTAAAGCTGAACTGAACCGAGTCTAAACCAGGATTTTATTGATCTAAAAAAAGAGACAGGTTGTTTGTTTTTGAAGAAGAGATGGTTGCCAGATTCAAGCTCGTCAAGACCTTAACTTGAGCGGGATTAAACCATGGACTAAACCAGGACTTAAAGTTGAACCGAACTGAATCTGAACCAGGATTTCATTGATCTAAAAAAGAGAGAGTTGTTTGTTTTTGAAGAAGAGATGGTTGCCAGATCCAATTCCAGACTTTAACTTAAGCGGGACTAAACTACGGACTAAACCAGGATTTAAAGTTGAACCAAACCGAGTCTAAACCAGGATTTCATTACTCTAAAAAAGAGAGAGTTGTTGTAGTTTTTAGAAGAGATGGTTGCCAGGTCCAAGCTCGTCAAGACTTTAATTTAAGTGGGATTAAACCATGGACTAAACCAGGACTTAAAGGTGAACTGAACCGAGTCTAAACCAGGATTTCACTGATCTAAAACTGTTTGCGTAACCATTTCATTTTGTATGCCCTGCTTCTGTGTCAAAACTTCCAAGTTGTAGCAGCATTTGAACCAAACCGGGATTAAACTATGGACTAAATCAGGACTTAAAGCTGAACTGAACCGAGTCTAAACCAGGATTTTATTGATCTAAAACTGTTGGTGTACCATTGAAGCTTGTATGCCCTGCTCCTGTGTCAAAACCATGGGCAACTCCATCGGTTGTGTAAGGCCTCCACCTTCCGAGGGGCAGCACCCTGGAGCGGCCCCCCATTCGCCAAAGAGGCGGCTGCGATTTCGACGAAAACATAAAAACAAGAAATCCAAAAAGGGAGAAGTTGACGTAGAGGAATACAAAACCAATCAGGAACCAGAGGAGGAAAAGAACGAAGAATGTACGGACCAAAAACCGACCGAATTCGAAGTTAGCAAACCTAGTCTTCTAACAGTGCCTGCCCATTCGCAAAGCAATACTCTTTTGCCGATGGTTTACGGAAGTAGGACTCTTGATTCGTCTCCTAAACCGAGCCCGGCGTGGAAAGGCGTCTTCTGTTATCCCGGTGAGGAGGATTCCGTTAGTGCGATTGTGGATGTTTCCAGTATTCCCAGTCAAACCACGACAACTTCCCCAGTCAACACTGCTCCTCCGCTGGGCAGCACGACTCCAGGTGGGGGCAGGGTGCTTCGGATCAAGGGGAAAGTGCAAGGCGTGGTGGAAAAACCTTGGATTTTACGAGCGAAGAAGGAGAAAAAGGATAGCGGAAGTGAAAAGAACGGATGTTAAGACGAAACGGATACAGGAACGGACTTCTCGCGCTAAAACTCCGTCGGAAAAAGAGCGCAAAGGTGTGGTTCATATTCGGGAAGTAGATGGAAAACTTTGCGTAGTTAGGACGGTTTATCCAAGTGACTATGGTTCCCCGGTTTGGAAGGGTGACACAGAGACACCCGGAGACGTTGTTAAAGTTTTGAATCCGGACACGACCCTAGCACCCATGGGAGCACCTACGATCCCAAAAGCGGATATTGCTACAAAGGGAATGTTTTTGGAAACGCCTGTACGTGCGCCACAACGCTCCCCGTCGCTTTTGGAGTCGGGATACACCAGTGACCTGCCGTTGACGTCGCCGGGGACAACGGGGACCACGCCCAGTCAAACGGAGTGGGTCGTCCCGGAAACGAGCTCCTCCGAGAGACTGGACTCGGTGATGGACAGCTGTCAATCACCGCAGCAACAAACCACGCCCCTGCCAGAGGTTTGAGTTTACACACTATATGATTACCAGCTCTGTGAATCATATATTTTGTGTTAAAGCTGTGTAATGAATAAAATTTTTATCACAATTTCATATAATCGAATTGAAACGATAAAGCTTAAAGTCTTTTTGGGGATATTTTTATATAAATATTTAAATATAGAGATTGTAGAACAGCTGGAAATATAGTTTATTTTGGATACATTTACATTTTCTATACCTTATTTCATGTTCAAAGTATATATTTTATTCATTTTATGTTTTATACATCGCCAAACTGCTCTAAGGTTCATATTTGTAGCCTATAGCCTCAATATTGACAAAAATAATTGTGATAATCGAGCAGCCCTATTTCGGGTGTTTATGAATAGAGTTTTGACAGTTTTATTAATGGATAGTATGGTTCTTAATGTAAGCTTTTGGCTGATAATTGGTATTTTTTTATATTTATACTTTTTGACCACTTTTTTACTCTGTCACTCTCAATTTTTATACTACAAGCATGATCATCTTCACTGTTTGTTTTTATACATTTTTTGGACATAGAGATTCCACTTATTGATCAAGATGCTTTGTGTTATAGTTGTGTTATAGTAAGAAACAACACAAAAACAACATCTGTCCATTGGAGGATTTAGGAACTTGAAAATTTATTAAAGGTGATTAACATTTCAACAATGCAAACTTATTTGTTATCTGATCAACATACGAAAGATCACAGACTGTATATATGAATGACCAAATAGGAAGTCTGCTCCAAATTCGCCCCTGTAACTGCGAGCCTCGATGAGCTTCATTTGACTTTAACCAAACACTATGGGTGACGTTACACTCCCTTAGTCCACTTTTTATACAGTCTATGTGAAAGACAAAATCAGTACTGAAAAACATACTTATTCATTACGACATGTCTGAAACAGGACCACACTGAATTTTGTGAAAAAAGGACAACATTGGATGTAAACTAATAGCCTGATTCATCAGCCAGTTTAACTTCGTAGAAATCGTCCAACCTCGCAGCATTAGAATTTGTTCGCTCGACGGTAGGCGGGTACTTTTTTCATTTAACCAATCACTGCTATTTGGTCATGACGTACGCAATGCGCTGCTAACGGGACTAACAGGTATATCAAGCTTTTCACAAATTCTGTAGGAAGAAGGGCAATAACGTCTTTCCCCTTGATAAAATTCACCAAACATTCTCTTTGTTCCGGCTTTAAATCCTCGATCTCAGGAATCATTGCTAAGACAGAATATATGGCTCTTCGTTGATTGGCTGGTGCCCAAACTCGCACTTCGTTTTTTTTTTTTTAAACCATCTAGTGTATTCCGATTCCTGACCTAGTTGCTGGAGAGAAATTGAACATCAACAAGGAATAAACCAGGAATAAACTTAAGACGAAACCAGGACTAATGTTAGGATTGAAGATGACTTTTATCACCACACAAGCAAACTAAATATATGAAAAAAATTGACTTATACTTCAACAATCATTTCTTACTAAGTTTTGAAGTCTGAGCTATGATTAAACTAAAAATGGGGTCAATTATAACTCGGGACAGTCTACTAACAGCCAGGTGTACTGTATGGACTAAACCAGGTCTGAAACTGGGACTTACCCGGACCGCATTTGCATACTCACCTCCGAAATGAATCACTTCTCAAATCTCAAAAGGAGACCGCTGATATATCACTGTCAATGTTATTAATTTTACTCGTTTGGTAAAGACCGACTATTAAATTAAATTAGGTGAGTCATTAAGAGCTTGAATCCTACCTCTCTGAAATCACACAGAACTGAAATTGAATAGGTGACAGTTGAATAAAAAGCTGCAAATGAAACTGAAACTGAAACACATCATACACTTTTTTATTAAAATTTGAAAACACTCTAACTATATAACTACTTAAAGGGTTTTATATTAAGCTATTTTCTGTTTATGTTTAACTCACAAACACTGCATATTTAGGCTGAGTTCTTCTCTCAAACAGAAAACACTCTGTTCCACCTTGTGATGTCATGTGGTAATACAGGAAGTGCTCCACTGTGTTTTTAAACTCCATACAACTTCACTAGAATCATTTGGATCGTTTCAGCCCTGGAATTGCCAATCTCTACAGCAACTTTTTTTTTTTCTGGAGACCCATATTTTAAAAGTCACAAACCTTCGCGACCCAAGTCAATAGACATTATTTGTAAATCACAAAATAAAGTGGATTTGTCCATTGTTGAACATTAATGAGGATATTTTATTGTTGGCTGAGTGATCGTGCCTCTGAACAATTAGTATGACTCAAGTTTTAAACAATGAAAAACAGTCATTGAAGCAGCAATAAAAGGATCCATAAGTCGCCTATTTGGATTTTAAAAGTAGCCCATTTCTTTTTCTTTTCAACATTCAATTGAACCAGCAAAATTGGAACAAAATAGTCAATAGAATAACTACAAAAAGATTAGACATGATATAAAACATGTCTTAACATTTGAACATTTCTAATGAGATAGGTGGACCTGTCTGTGTTTTTGTAGTGTGTTCCAGTCCAGGGTGCAGGAGGAGAACGCAGGAGCAGATCAGGTGCAACATTCAGTCTGTTTCTGTGCTTTGGCTTCATTTTAATGAGCACAGAAACTCCCAATTCACACACACACACACACATATATACATATATACATATATACATATATACATATACATATACATATATAGTAGTGAAAGGAATAAGCATAGAAACACTGGCCCTACTGAGGATTAGTCAGGCTGGCGCCACCTAGTGCCTCCACTCAATTTCATTTCTCTTTAGCGACTAGGTCAGGAGTCAGAATACACTAGACAGTGTGCAAAAACCCCTGAAGTGTGAGTCTGGACGCCAGCCAATCAGCAAAGAGCCATACATTCTGTGTTGGCAATGATTCTCGAGATCGAGGATTTAAAGCCGGAACAAAGAGAATGTTTGGTGAATTTTATCAAGGGGAAAGATGTTATTGCCCTTCTTCCTATGGTATTTTGGAAAGGCTTAATATACCAGTTAGCAATGATTGGTTAAATTAAAAATTTCCCGCCTACTGTCGAGCGAACGAATTCTAATACTGCGAGGTCAGACGGTTTCCCCAAAGTGAAACCGGTTGATGAATCAGGCTAACCGAGTGCAAGATATTCTGACGAAATATCCAAAATGACGATAAGGTCACAGATCCATGTATTCAACTGGATATTGCCGACCTACATGCAGAACGTGTGAAGTTGACCCCCCAAAAAAACTTGCGACCCACCTGAAGGTCAAAACCCAGTCTTTGGAAAACAATAATCTGCAGAACAAAAAGAAAAAACATAGCTCATAACTTAAAAACTACAGGTTCATAACATCATAAGGTGCAATCGAGCATTTTGGACTTGGAAATGCAGACAGACTAATAATAAAGGGTTACTTAAATGTGTAAAGGAAACAAAACACAACTGCAATTATGTTTTTGATGAAGTAACAACATTTTAACATGTCTCAAAGCTCAGAAGAATACATTTTGTCTAATATTGGATCTTTAAATTGTAGTTGTGTTCTGAAGTTGTACCTCTACTAATTGCTAAATAGTTGTAGATAGCTGTCGTAGTTGTAGTACTAGTTGTAGTAGTTCTAGGAGTACTGTAGTATATTTCCATCCTTCTTAATCAGTTGTCCAGAAGGTATTCACAGCTTAGTTTCCTTTTATAGTCCATGTTTTTGTATGTGCCTCTGTGTGTGGTTATCAGCGGTAGAAAAGCCTGCTCTGTTTTTTCCTGGAGTCTAATCAACACCAAACACACGCCGTCCTTTCAAACCACCTCCTGCTCCAGACCTCACAGCAGACTGACGGGCCCAACAAGAGCCAGAAAGCAAAAACATTTACTTTATTTCTCATGAATTCGGTGAAAAGTTGAGGAGTTATTGTGTGGGGTACTTGTCTGCTTATTTTCGTTTCTGGCAAAGAGGTTGTGGGTTAAATTCTCAGGTTGGCCGGCAGACAGTTTTCTTGCAGTCCGTTGCGTCAGTTTTGAGTTGCGTCAGGTTTGTGCATTTTTGAGTAAATGTCTGAATTAGTCATAGCAGATTAATGTCTCTAACACAAACCCACACTCACAGACCAGAGTCCTGCACGGGTCCATTTTTTGGAGACCTGCATCTGCGCAATAAAGCACCAGATCCACCCGTGAACCCGTGATTATATCAAAGTTAAATCCGCGCTCGTCCGGACCCTTTAACCATCCATCTGTTACCCATCCGTGCCCGTGATGAATTGAATTGAGGTCAGCTCTTTAGTCCAACAGCCCAATAATCCAGGACTAAAAACCAGGACTAAACCTACGTTGTGTCATTAGCGGATGATAAATATATACACACCGCAACAGCCATAGCCGATCGCCAGGAGTAAACCAGGACTGAACCATGACTTAAGCAGGACTAAATGTCTAAACCAGGACTAAACCAGGTCTAAACCAGGACTAAACCACCTCTAAACCACCTCTAAACCAGGACTTAACCAGGACTAAACCAGGACTAAATGTCTAAACCAGGACTAAACCACCTCTAAACCAGGACTTAACCAGGACTAAACCAGAACTAAACGTCTAAACCAGGACTAAACCACCTCTAAACCAGGACTAAACCAGGTCTA